TATTTATCCAACTGCAAGAAGCTGTTTACCGATTGTTTAAAATCCCCACAAAGGTGAACTGAGCCATCAGGCTTCACAATTGGTATGACCAGTGCTGCCCATTCTGCAAACTGCACTGGTTTGATGACTCTTTCACTCTCCAGCCTCATGATTTCTGCCTCCACTTTAACCAGCAAAGGAAATGGCACTGGGCAGGCCTTGCAAAACCTTGGAATTGCTTCCTGGTCAACATTTAAAGTGGCTTTGTCCCCTTTGATCGTTCCGAGCCCTTCCTGAAAAACTCCTGGGTATTTCACTAGGATTTCACTAAGGCAGCCATTTTCTCCTCAAAAAGTGTTGAGCCAGTCTAGGTGAATCTTCCTCAACCAATTCTGCCCCAGTAGTCTTGGCCCTGAGCCTTTAACTACCGTCAGTGCACCAACTGCTTCTCATAGGAGACTGGAACTGAAGTCATACCCTTAATCTGTTGCAGTTCCCCAGTGTATGTTCTCAGTCAGGCTGAAATCTTGTGCAAATTTAAGGGCTGGAGTCCCGAGTGAATGTTGTTAAAGACAGATTCTGCAACCGCAGATATAGCTGTGCCAGTATCAATCTCCATGGGAACTGGGTGACCATTTAACCAAACATTAATTTTAATAGTTCTGATTTGGGTTTCGCTAAGCAATTTAATTGTTCCAACCCACATGTAGGGGGACTTTTCAGGGTGCGCACTCTCCTTGGTACCAGCCTATGAGTTTTCTTACTCAAGTAAAGCCTTGTAGGACTCCTTTGCTATCTCAAGGCTGCATACCAGCAGCAACTACAACGGCTTGCCCGTCGTCTTAACCTTGTCAAAAATCCTGATACCGATTTCCCGAAGTTCTCTAACAGCGAGTAAAACAATAGCATCTCAGAATTAAAAGAGGTTTGGGGTCGTAATATTCCTTAACCAACTCCGTCAACTCTTGGAAGATTTTTTGTGTCTGATACCTCTGGAAACATTAAGCCTCTTTCTAACTGAAAATGCTGCAGTTCCACAAGCAGTCAGAAGGATCACTCATTGCTTTTCATCTGCCCCAATGTCATTTGCCCAGAAAATATATCGTATTCTTTCCATATACCAGGCCCAGTCTTCGACAGCAGGATCAAACAAGTCAAGCTTCCCAAATAAAGACAGGATGCCAGAAAGGCTTACCCCAACTGCAAGATGACTGTTGCAAGCGAAAATTCTTCAGGCACATACTGTTTTCTCCCATCGTCACCGAAATAACTGCACAGAGGCCGGTATCTCATCACCAAGTCACCCTTTATTTACTAGTGCACAGTACACTGGCTGTGACCAGCCAGCTTGGAGTCATTCTGTAAACCGAGGCGATTCTAATCTCCTGGTTATCTTGGTCAGCCAAGGCTTTCTTGATTGGCCCAGGTTAACAACCCCAATCAAGAACCTCATAGTCAATGAGGTCCTTCTGGTTCCAGTCACTACAATCTTATAAAGAGAGATTGAGCAGTTTAGCCCTGTACTCTCTAGAGTTTAGGAGAACATGAAGAGATGTAAAGGAGATCGAAAAGATGCTAAAGGGAGTTCACAAATTATATGTAAAGAAGGTGTTTCCTCTTGTGGAACAACTTCGAACAAGATGTCATAGTTTTAGAATAAAAGGTATGATGTAAAACAGAGATGAGAAATTATTTCTCCCAAAGGGTCATGAATCAGTGGAATTCACAGAGTAAATTTAAGGAGGAGATAGACAGATTTTCGATGAGTCATGGATTGAAGGGTTACGGGGAGTGGAGGGGAAAGTGAAGTTGAGGTCGATATGACATTAGTTATGATAGTATGGAATGGCGGAGCAGGCTTGAGGGGCTGAATTGCCTACTTCTGCTTCTGATTGTTATGTTCTTCTAAACCCCTGCAAATATAGGCCCAGTTGAATCAATCTCTCCTCATATGAACAGAATTCAATATTATAGTAATAGAGACATAGAGGCCTACAGAACAGAAAAAGGTCCTTTGGCCCATCAAGTCTGTGTTGGTCAAAGACTACCACCTAATTATTCTTAACCCCTTTTCAGCATTTCACGCATAGACTCATATGCCTTGGGATCGCAATACTTCTTAAATTTATGAGGTCTACCACCCTTAACAGGCAGTGAGTTCCAGTTTCACACCCGCCTGTTATGATCGAGATTGGAAGAGTAAGCTACTTACGTAGCCACACCACTCCATGCTACTGGTGCATTTTGCCCATCATCTCTGTAGCAGACATCCAATGAACACAATGGCTTCGTGCCATTCTCCTTCCTTTGCCCCATGCCATTGCACACTTTTTATTCAAATCATCATCCAATATCCCCTTGAATGCCTCAATGATTCCACCTTTATCACAAGGCAACATATTCCAGACCCAAGTCACTAATTGAGTGAAAAAATTGTTCCTCACATTGTATTTTACTAAGTTTGCAAATCATTTTTATCACACCCTTTAGGAAAATGTGCTAATACTTGAGGTCCACCACCCTCAGGTTGTCACAAATGTTAACAATTTAATCAAAGTATTCAAAGTTCCCATTTACCTCCAATAAAAACAAAACACCATGGATGCTGGAAATCTAAAATGAAAACAGAAGGTGCTGGAGAACTCGATTTCTCTATCCACTCGTGCTGCCAGACCTGCTGGGTTGTTTAATTCTTCATGTTTTTATCTCAAATTTAACTTTCTGATGGACTCAGCCTAACTGAAAACACTGATCAGATTTCTGTAGTTCACATATTACAAATCAATCAATTCTAACCATAGGCAAACAGAAATAAAAATTATTAACCTATAATGTAACAAAATGTTGAGAGGAGATTTTCATGATGGGAAAGGCAGGAGATTGACACAAGATAATGGTAATCATTTAGTATAGGCTTGATGGGTTTAATTGCATCCTTCTGTGCTGTAACATTCCTGTCAATCCATTGTCACAATTTACTGGGGTAACATGCTGGAAATCAAGCACTGCTATTCCTGGAGTCATGACAAAAGTTAATGATTTTTAAAAGTACACCAAAATTAACAGATTTACTTGTCTTTTAGACCAAGTTTGACAAAAATTATGGACTAACTTTCTGTGCTTAACTCAACCTACTGTTTATTAGAAGAAACTAGACTTTAGATGCAAGTAAACAATATGACTATTAATTAAAACTTTAATCCCTTTATGTGTGGAATGCACTGCCGGCAGTAGTGGTGGAGTCAGATACATTAGGGACATTTGAGCGACTCTTGGATAGGCACGTGGATGATAGTAAAATGTAGGGTATGCAGGGTAGTTTGATCTTAGAGTAGGATAATAGGTCAGCACAACATTGTGGGTTGAAGGGCCTGTACTGTGCTGTACTGTTCTATGTTCTAAACTCCCCCTTGCAAACACAGACACAGACAGAGAAAAATAAATCAAGGTTTATGAATGCAGGTAAAATCGGAAAACATTTCAATAGTCCTGCTCACAAAGGTTGCTGAGATGATTTTTTCTAATTCATGTGAACATCACAACATTGCTTCTCAGTGATCCTTCACCAAATGCCTGTTACCAATGCTAATTTCCCTTAAACCTTCACTCTCTACGGTCATTTGGATCTCTAATTCGAGGAGAATTCCAGTATCATCCTCTGTGAAACATACACAAAGAAGTAATTTAGTTTTTCTGCTGTTTCTTTATTTCCCAATATAAATTCTGCTGGATTTTCCTACAATAGAGCTACATTTGTTTTTGCCAAATATTTCCTTTTTACATATGTATAGAAGCTTTTGCAGTCTATTTTTATGTTTTTGCTAGATCATTTCATGGCATATTCTCTATTTCTTTTTCCACTTCTTGGCTCTCTTTTACTGTATTCTATAAACCTCCTAATCCCTAGGATTACTGTTTTTTTTCTGGCAACTTTATAGAGCTTTTCTTTTAATAGTATACCATCCTGAACTACCTTTGTTAGCCATGATTGACTGATCTGTTAAGAGTTGTTGAACCTTGAAGGGATCTATAGTTGTTTAATTACTGTAATTCCTATTTTATATTGTGCCTCCATGTTCTTACAACCAAAATTAATCACCTCACACTTCTACATATTAAACCTCATTTGCCACCTATCTGCCATTCCACCAACTTGTCCATCTCCTTTTGGAATTCTGTCCTGTTCTTCTCACAGTTTACAATGCTTCCAAGTTTTGTATCATTCACAAAGTTTGAAGTTGTCCCTTACACCCAAATATCTGGAAGAAATCAGGAGAAACAAAGGTTTCAAAATCAATCCTACTCCACTACAATCCTTCCATCAGCCCGAAAGCTATCAATTGACTACCAGAGATAGTAGGAACTGCAGATGCTGGAGTCTCAGATAACAAGGTGTAGAGCTGGATGAATACAGCAGGCCAGGCAGCATCAGAGGAGCAGGAAAGCTGACATTTCAGTTCTGAAGAAGGGTCCAGACCCGAAATGTCAACTTTCCTGTTCCTCTGATGCTGCCTGGCCTGCTGTGTTCATCCAGCTCTACACCTTGTTATCTTATAATTGACTACCACTCGCTGTTCTCTACAGCTCATCCAGTTTTGTGTCTAGGTTGTCAATATCCCATTTCTTCCACGAATTGGAAACGTTTTCATAAGTCTGTTGTGTGGCACTGCATTGAATGCTTTTTGAAAGTTCATAGACACCAGATCAATAGCATTATCTACAATAACCCCCTTCAAAACCAACAGGAAATTAGTCAAATGTGTTTACCCATTAAGAAATTCATGCTGGATCTTCTGGAACAATTATCATTTTCCATGTTACCAATCCATATTTGATTCTGTTAGAACAAGTGTTTATCTGGTTTCAATAATGATGAGGACAAGGTCAGGGTCCATGCTGTCCCAACAGCAACTCTTGAGACCAATACAGTCTGTGCTGGTGTTTAGCGCTGACTCGAGGTCCAGTCATCTCATCTGCAGTTGTTTCTTCAATGATTCTATGTAATGTGCTTTCTATTTCAGATCCAATCAAACTGGTTGTTGTTGCAGGGGACTCTGTTTTTTTCCCGTCACCGGGAAAAGAGGGATCATCCTCAAGTACAACCTGGATTTTCGTTACCGGTAACCATGAGGAGATAATAAAATTTGAAGCAGCTGAAAGTGCCACACCTAAACCTGCACCTGCGTATAAAAATCGAATCTTGTTCTACACAGGCCTCCGGACCTTTGTGCTAATGAATACGCAAGAAGATGACAGTGGGATCTACCATTACACTGAGTATTCTCAGAAAAAACCCATAAGCATAGTGAATCTCCAAGTCTACGGTAAGTACATTAAAAAGGCTTATTTGCCCGCCACACAAATGCCAGGCTATGACCATCACCAATAAGAGACAATCTAACCACTGCCCCTTGACATTCAATGATGTTACCATCACTGAATCCCCCCACTGTCAACATCCTGGGGGTTACCATTGACCAGAAACTCAACTGGACTCACCATATTAATACAGTGTCTACAAGAACAGGCCAGAAGCTAGGAATACTGTGGCGAGTAACTCACCTCCTGACTCCTCATCCAGAAGGCACAAGTCAGGAGTGAGATGGAGTACTCTCTGCTTGCCCCGGGATGAGTGCAGCCCCAACAACACTCAAGAAGCTTGACACCATCCAGGATAAAGCAGCCCCCGCTTGATTGGCACCACATCCACAAGCATTCACTCCCTCCGCCACCGATGCGCAGTAGCAGCAGTGTGTACTATCTACAAGATGCACTGCGGAAATTCACCAAAGATCCTCAGACAGCACCTTCCAAACCCACGACCACTTTCATCTAGAAGGACAAGGGCAGCAGACATATGGGAACACCACCACCTCCAAGTTTCCCTCCAACTCACTCACCATCCTGACTTGGAAATATATTGCTGTTCCTTCACTGTTGAAATCCTGGAATTCCCTCCCTAATAGCATTGTGGGTCAACCTACAACAGGTGGACTGCAGCGGTTTAAGAAGGCAGCTCACCACCACCTTCTCAAGGGCAGCTAGGGATGGGAAATAAATGCTGGCCAGCAAATGACACCCACATCCCACAAATAGTAGAAACAAAAAACAATAAGGAAGATTTGTCCCTCTTACCTTACCCGTCATAAGATCAGAGATGTCTACAGCTCAGAAAGAAAAGGGCCTTAGGGCACCTAGTCTGCACTGGTTAAATCTCTGCCTCTCCAAATTCAGATTAAATCTGCCCCTCAAATTGTTTCCAATTATATCCCCACCACTGAGGTTAGATTGACCAACCTGTAGTTTCCTGGTTTATCCCTTGTTCCCTCTATGAATAATAAACCCACATTGACTGTCCTCAGTCCTCCAGCACCTCTCCTGTGGCCAGCGAGGAGTTGAAAGCAACTGCCAGTGACCTTGCTATTTCCTCCCTTTGCTTCACTCAACAACCGGGGATACATTTCACCAGGTCCTGGAGATGTATCTACTTTTAAGCGTTTCAGACTATGGGATAGGGATGAAAGAAAAAGAAATGCAGGTGAAGGAGCGAGAGCTTTGGGTCAAGAAAAGGGGAGATGAGGTGAAGGAGGAGGAAATAGGGGTTGAAGGAGGGGAGATAAGAGTGGGTGTCTGAAAGGGTTGATGGAGAGGAGAAATGGGAGTGAAGGAAGGGTAGATGGGAGTGAAGGAGGTGGAGATGGAAGTGAAAGAGGAGGAGATGGATGTGACAGAGGGGCAGAACAGGGTGAAGGAGCGGAGTTAGGGATAATGGTAGGGAAAATGGGGAGAAGGAGGGGTAAGATGGGCTTGTGGTCTTATTGGTGAACTATTAATTCAGAAAATTAAAAACATCTGGAATTAAGAATCTACTGATCACCATGAAATCATTGTTGATTGTCGGAAAAACTCATCTGGTTCATTAATGCCCTTTCGCGAAGGAAATCTGTCATCCTCACCTGGTCTGGCCTACATGTGACTCCAGACCCACAGCAATGTGGTTGACTCTCAGTTGCCCTCTGAAATGGCCAGCAAGCCATTCAGTTGTACCAATTGCTACAAAGTCTCAAAGAAATGAAACTGGACAGATCACCTGGCATGGACCTAGGCACCAGAAAAGACAGTGGCAGAGACAGCCCTGGCGACCCTAAAGTCCTTCTCACTAACATCTGGGGGCTCATGCCAAAGTTGGAAGAGCTCCCTCACAGACTGGTCAAACACCAAAGATCCTCAGACAGCACCTTCCAAACCCACGACCACTTCCATCTAGAAGAACAAGGGCAGCGGATAAATGGAAACACCACCACCTTCAAGTTCTCCTCCAAGCCACTTAACATCCTGACTTGGAAATATATTGCTATTCCTTCACAGTCGCTGGGTCAAAATCCTGGAATTCCCTCCCCAATGGCATTGTGGGTCAACCCACAGCACATGGACTGCAGCAATTCAAGAAGGCAGCTCACCACCACCTTCTCAAGGGCAACTAGTGATAGGCAATAAATGCTGGGCCCTGCCAGAGACACCCACATCCTACAACTGAATAGAAAAAAAAGAAACCCAGCTAATGTTCTGGGGACCCCGGTTCGAATCCCGCCACAGCAGATGGTGGAATTTGAATTCAATAAAAAATCTGGAATTGAGAATCTGCTGATAACCTTGAAATCATTGTTGATCTTCAGAAAAGAACCATCAGGTTCACTAATGCCGTTCAGGGAAGGAAATTTTCCATCCTCACCCGGCCTGGTCTGCACTTGACTCTAGACCCACAGAAATATGAGTGACTTTCATTTGCCCTCTGCAATGGACTAACAAGCCAATCAGTTATACCAATGGCTACAAAGTCTCGAAGAAATGAAACTGGACAGATCGTGTGGCATCGAGCTAGGCACTGGAAAAGACAACAGCAGAAATGGTCCTGTCAACCCTGCAAGGTCCTCCTTACTAACATCTGGGTGCTAGTGCCAAAATTGGGACTCACAGACTAGTCAAGCAACGGGCTGACATAGTCATTCTCACGAAATCGTACATTACAGACAATGTCCCAGATACCAACATAACCATCCTGGATTTGTCCTGTCCCACCGGCAGGACAGACCCAGCAGAGGTGGAAGCACAGTGGTATACAGTCGAGAGGGAGTTGGTTTGGGAGTCCTCAACATTGGCTCCAGATTACATGAAGTCTCATGGCTTCAGTTTATTCATTAGCAAGGAAACCTCCCACTGATTACCATGAACCATCCTCCCTCAGCTGATGAATCGGCATTCCTTCATGTTGTACAAAAGTTAGAGGAAGCACTGAGGATAGCAAGGGCGCAAAATGTACTCTGGGTAGGGGATTTCAATATCGACCGCCAAGAATAGCTCAACGACAAGAATAGCAGTACTACTGATCGAGGTGGTCGGGTCCTAAAGGACATAGCTGCTAGACTGGATCCGCGGCAGGTGGTGAGGGGACCAAAAATAGGGAAAAACATACTTGACCTCATCCTTACCAATCTGCCAGCTGCAGATGCATCTATCCACGGCAGTATCGGTAAGAGTGACCGCTGCACAGTCGTTGTGGAGACAAAGTCCTCCCTTCATTTTGAGAATAATCTCCATTGTGTTCTGTGGCACTATCACCATGCTAAATGAGACAGAATTCACACAGATCTAGCAACTCAAGACTGGGCATCCATGAGGCACTATGGGCCATTAACAGCAATAGAATTGTACTCCACATCATGATGTGGAGGTGTTGGTGTTGGACTGGAGTGGACAAGGTCAGAAGTCAGATGTCACCAGGTTATAGTCCAACAGGTATATGTGAAATCGCAAGCTCTCAAAGCACTGCCTTGTTGTCAGGTAAAATGAAGGGAAGCACTCGGGTGAAGAATTTATAATTCGAGAGATCAAAAGATCATACGAATGGTATGAGCACAGTGTCGACAGGCTGAATAATAGGTCTCTGCAGGTGATCAAGAGTGTCAACAGCTGAATATCAAGCCAAGGAATGACTTATAATCTGATTAACTGAGGCAGACAGATAATTACAAAAAATTAAATGTAAGGTGTTGCTGGAGACAAACCAAATGACTGGAATTACATGATAGGTATAAAAGTCATGCTGAGGGTTTAACAAAAGTAACAAATAATCCAAAACTGTACAACCTAATTCAGGTGGAGAGATCACAACAAGTTATCAAGGTGATGGTGTCAAAACAGGATAGTAAGGAAGATTTTACAGATAAAGAACAGTATGGTGGGGTCCCATGTGGTGCGACATGAGCCCAAGATCACAGTTGAGGCCGTCTTCATGGGTACAGAACTTGGCAATCAGTTTTGCTCAGTGATTCTGCATTGTTGTGCATCTCGAAGGCTGTCTTGGAGGACAGTTACCCAAACATATCAAACATGTCAAACAAAATGAATCAATAACAAAAAGATGTGGGAGAGGGAGATCGGAGTGAAGGAGGGGGAGATGGGGGTGAAGGGGTGTGAAGTAACCCCATGAAGGCTGGTATCCCGAACAAAGTCACCTTTTATTTACACGTGTAGTATGTGTCATTGACCCAAGCTAGCACAGAGCCAGCTCCAAGTGAGCAGATCCCCGACACTCCTGTTTATAGCTGTCAGCAAGGGCTCCCTGATCAGACCAGGTTAAGAGCCACAATCAGAGAACTCATATTCTGTGAGATCTACCTGGCTGAGATCGTTCCAATCATTACATCGCTCCCCCTCTGAATCCTGGGATGTAGGCCTGTTTTTTTTTCCTGCAGCTTCTCCTGGGGCGTTTTCTCACCAGGTCCAGTTCCTTTGACTCTGCCTCGATTACTGGCAGTGTGTACCAGACCATAGCCTGCCTCTTACATCCAGAGCGCCTCGGCCGAAACTCATCCTCTTCTTCAGATGATAACAACATTGAGGCTGTGACTTCTGCCGTGTCCATCTCATCCTCAGAGGTTTCTGCAGTGCTAGGTGGAGGGAGAGAACCCACAGGTTCTGACATCCCTGCCGGATGTTCTGAAGGGCCAGATATGTTTTACTCCTGCCCCCTTTGTGAGGTTGCAGCTTGGTCTATGTGCTTGTTAAGGACCACCACCCCAGCCCGAATGTTATACATCATGGAACCTGACCTTGCATCAACCATGCCTCTTACCATGCAGGACCATTGTCATGGTTTCGACATAGCCTTCGTTCCCTGAAGTAAACTGCCCCTTTCACTTAGAGGAGTCTTCTGCCCAGCATTGATGTTTCTGATGCTGTTTCACCCTTTCCCCGCATTGGTCTGTGAATATCAGATTTAGCCTGATGCGAAGTCTTCTCCCCATTGGTAACTCTGCTGGAG